GATGTATTAGTACAATGAATGTCCCCTTTTGAGTTTTAATTGATTAATTGTGTCCTCTTAAGTTAATTATCACTTAGTAAACTTCTCATCACTTAAAAGTTTATGATCTTAACTCAAGTCCAGCCATATTACTCAATTAAAGAACTCTATAGTGGCATTCCAAATTACAGACACAGTAAAAAAAATCTCATTCCTTCAACATTGGACATAACATACAAGTATCACATTGCTACAATATAGATTTAATCAAGCACACATCACCTTAAATCACAGTTCAACACAACTACATATAATTAACTAAACAATTCAAATTAAAACAAGTATAAATAGCTTTCATCGCCTGTTAAGACATCTGAAACAACTTTAGAACTCCAAACTACCTCCAATCACATAAGATGCTCTATCTACATATAGAAACATTATAAGAACGATAAAATCATACTATCATGACCACTACTCAGCAGAGACTCAAATAAAAAATTAAAAAGACACATGCAAGCATAATAATGCTCATATACAATTGAAAATATAAATATACCAAGAAAAGGGTTGAAACTTAAGTTACCCAAATTGAGAGATTGATTTGTCCAAATTTTAAAACTTGTTGCGAGGATCACTCCTACTATATCATATCTTCAAATAGATTAATAGAGAGGAAGAACTCCGAGAGAGAAATCAGAAAATACTAGAAAAATGGTTTCTAAATATATGGTAAATATATAATGTGTTTTAAAATAATGAAACTTGTTTATAACAAAAACATTTATACTAAATTTTTTTAATATTAAAATAATAAGTTTTACTATTTTTAAACAATTATCGATTTTAAAATATCACTCTCTATATCTTTACAATAATTATTTTAATATAAAATAATTTTCTACCAATAAAAAACATGTTTAATATTATAATTTAGTAAAAAAAAATGTAAATCTTATATAACATAAATTATTAAATCTTTCAATAATTCACCAAATACTTATAACTCGATGAAGTGTATAAACTTGAAAGAAAAAAGAGTTTACCTTTTTATAAAACCCATACAAATAGACAAAGTGATATAAAAATTAGAATATTGTTTTTTTTTTCAAATTCCTCTTATATAAGATTTAGAGAGTTGATCTACAAATATAGAACTACAAAAGGTATTTCTTGAAGTCTAAAAAAACCAAAAATATACTTAAAATTAAGAATAAAATAAATAATATAAAGAAAATCTTAATAATTCACCAATTAATGATTTGAATATTGCATTAAATCTGGCACAATTTTGAACTCTTTCTTTAAATTTTGGATTATTATTTTAGTCAAGCCTAATCAACTGTCAATAAGTTTCACAATGAGTTTGTTTTCATGTAAAAATAATAAATATAAAATAATTTGTTTTCACTGAATTGTAAATATTTTAACAGAAAAAATAAAAATAAAAAATATTTTTTTGAAAAATATTTTAAAACACGTAAAACTAATTAAGAAAATATGAACTCCATCCAATGCATTATTTATAACTTAATCACCTTAAACTTTATATGGTAAATAATTTCTTATTGCTTGATAATATAGACTTATATAGACATTAGACTGTCTTAAACAAACTAACATTTTAAATTAAAGTTAAATCATACCTTAATTAAAACATATAATATTAAATATAAATCACTTAATTTTTTTTCCAAACACTACCAATGTACATATTTGAGCCCAATAAACCCAAATGGGCTTTTGAACTTTCACCTTCCACCGATAACGGTAAGAAATCCAACGGCTACATTTTAATTTCCACGTTGTCTCAACCAATGACAGTCACACTGAGTTTTCATCCTCACACGATAACCTAGAAAACAATTAATTCACTGAAAATCAGAACAAAGTTAAATTTTGACAATGTTTTCGCATAGTATTTTTCTTGTCTGATAGATGGGGGTTGGTGGTAATTTCTGGGAGCTGCTAAAGCCCTATGCGCGTCGCGAGGGTTTTGATTTCTTGAGGAACAAGCGAGTTGCTGTGGACCTATCATTCTGGATTGTTCAGCATGAGAATGCTATGAAGGCCACTCATGTCAGAAAACCTCACCTCAGACTTACCTTCTTCCGCACCATCAATCTCTTTTCCAAGGTTTTCTACCCTAGAAATGTTACAGGAAGTTAGGAAATTTGTTTTTTGAAGAAGATTTTTTATTTTTAGCACATTTTAATTACATGAAATAAAAATTGGGATTAATTGACTGGTTCAACAAATGATCATGTTAAGAGGTGTTATTGTCTTTTTTTGGTTTTGTAAAAGTGGAGTGTTGAAAGTTTAGGTAGTTTGCATGAACTGTCGATATTGTATACAAAAAATAATTATCTATTAGGTTTAGTGATTTAGACTTAATATTCTTGTAGTATTGGATTGGAGTGTCATTTTGGTTGCGATGGGATTATCTAAATTGCTGTTCCTCTTTATGTTTAATGTAGACTTAAATTGATACTCTTGGATTGGAATGTCATGCAAGGTGACGGGTTTAATCTAAATGGGTCTTGTTTTTATTTTTTACCTTGTATGTTAAGTTAGTTTAGATATGGAATAGTAAAACAAAGGATGAACTTGAATATTGATGATGATATGGTGATTTTTGCAGTTTGGGGTACTTCCTGTGTTCATTGTTGATGGGACTCCGTCGCCATTGAAAGCACAGGCCAGGATTGCAAGATATTTTGGGTCTTGTGGCATTGAGCTGACTAGCTTGCCAGTCTCTGAAGGTGTTTCAGCAGAAAGGAGCAGCCTGTTTTCAAGTCGAGTTCAAGAATGTGTGGTGGGATGCTTTTACTTTTCCTATGATTACCACCAACTTGATNATGGAATTCATTTCTTCAAGACAAATCACACTTTACTTCATCTTTGTTAATGATTCTCACATACAGAACCCATTATAACCATCATACATATGTATACTGATAAATAATTTCATCATAGTTACATCATACAAATCAAACAAGCTCTTATGAAGTTCCAAACATGAAAAGAAAATCTTCTGATACTGCCCAACGCCATAAATCATAGCCTAGTGCTATTCAACCACCAAAGGCACATCTGAAAGGTTCTCGCCTAACGTTAACCAAATGGCGCCCAACCCAGTGAGCCTAGGGCTTACCTAACGAAATGCTCTCAGGATTTAAATCCTGGGAATGACACACCAGCGCTATCAGTGACAATCAACAATGTATTAGTACATTGAATGTCCCCTTTTGAGTTTTAATTGATTAATTGTCTCCTCTTAAGTTAATCATCACTTAATAGACTTCTCATCACTTAAAAGTTCATGATCTTAACTCAAGTCCAGCCATATTACCCAATTAAAGAACTCTATAGTGGCATTCCAAATTAGAGACACAGTTAAAAAAAAATCTCATTCCTTCAACATTGGACATAATATGCAAGTATCACATTGCTACAATATAGATTTAATCAAGCACACATCACCTTAAATCACACTTCAACACAACTACATATAATTAACTAAACAATTCAAATTAAAACAAGTATAAATAGCTTTCATCACTTGTTAAGACATCTCAAACAATTTTAGAACTCCAAACTACCTCCAATCACATAGGATGCTCTATCTACACATAGAAACATTATAAGAACGATAAAATCATACTATCATGACCACTGATCAGCATATACTCAAATAAAAAATTAAAAAGACACATGCAAGCAAATAATGCTCATATACAATTGAAAATATAAATATATCAAGAAAAGGGTTGAAACTTAAGTTACCCAAATTGAGAGATTGATTTGTCCAAATTTTAAAACTTGTTGCAAGGATCACTCCTACGATATCATATCTTCAAATAGATTAATAGAAAGAAAGAACTCCGAGCGAGAAATTAGAAAATCCTAAAAAAATGGTTTCTAAATATATGGTTAATATATGATGTGTTTTAAAATAATGAAACTTGTTTATAACAAAAATACTTATACTAAATTTTTTTAATATTAAAATAATAAGTTTTACTATTTTTAAACCATTATCGATTTTAAAATATCATTCTCTATATCTTTACAATAATTATTTTAATATAAAATAATTTTCTACCAATAAAAAACATGTTTAATATTATAATTTAGTAAAAAAAATGTAAATCTTATATAACATAATTATTAAATCTTTGAATAATTCACCAAATACTTATAACTCAATGAAGTGTATAAACTTGAAAGAAAAAAGAGTTTACCTTTTTATAAAACCCATACAAATAAACAAAGTGATACAAAAATTAGAATATTGTTTTTTTGTTCAAATTCCTCTTATGTAAGATTTAGAGAGTTGATCTACAAATATAGAACTACAAAAAGGTATTTCTTGAAGTCTAAAAAAACCAAAAATATACTTAAAATTAAGAATAAAATAAATAATATACAGAAAATCTTAATAATTCACCAATTAATGATTTGAATATTGCATCAAATCTGGCACAATTTTGAACTCTCTCTTCAAATTTTGGATTATTATTTTAGTCAAGCCTAATCAACTCTCAATAAGTTTCACAATGAGTTTGTTTTCATGTAAAAATAATAAATATAAAATAATTTGTTTTCACTGAATTGTAAATATTTTAACAGAAAAAATAAAAATAAAAAATATTTTTTTGAAAAATATTTTAAAACACGTAAAATTAATTAAGAAAATATGAACTCCATCCAATGCATTATTTATAACTTAATCACCTTAAACTTTATATAATAAATAATTTCTTATTGCTTGATAATATAGACTTATATAGACATTAGACTGTCTTAAACAAACTAACATTTTAAATTCAAGTTAAATCATACCTTAATTAAAACATATAATATTAAATATAAATCACTTAATGTTTTTTTCCAAACACTACCAATGTACATATTTGAGCCCAATAAACCCAAATGGGCTTTTGAACTTTCACCTTCCACCGATAACGGTAAGAAATCCAACGGCTATATTTTAATTTCCACGTTGTCTCAACCAATGACAGTCACACTGAGTTTTCATCCTCACACGATAACCTAGAAAACAATTAATTCACTGAAAATCAGAACAAAGTTAAATTTTGACAATGTTTTCGCATAGTATTTTTCTTGTCTGATAGATGGGGGTTGGTGGTAATTTCTGGGAGCTGCTAAAGCCCTATGCGCGTCGCGAGGGTTTTGATTTCTTGAGGAACAAGCGAGTTGCTGTGGACCTATCATTCTGGATTGTTCAGCATGAGAATGCTATGAAGGCCACTCATGTCAGAAAACCTCACCTCAGAATTACCTTCTTCCGCACCATCAATCTCTTTTCCAAGGTTTTCTACCCTAGAAATGTTACAGGAAGTTAGGAAATTTGTTTTTTGAAGAAGATTTTTTATTTTTAGCACATTTTAATTACATGAAATAAAAATTGGGATTAATTGACTGGTTCAACAAATGATCATGTTAAGAGGTGTTATTGTCTTTTTTTGGTTTTGTAAAAGTGGAGTGTTGAAAGTTTAGGTAGTTTGCATGAACTGTCGATATTGTATACAAAAAATAATTATCTATTAGGTTTAGTGATTTAGACTTAATATTCTTGTAGTATTGGATTGGAGTGTCATTTTGGTTGCGATGGGATTATCTAAATTGCTGTTCCTCTTTATGTTTAATGTAGACTTAAATTGATACTCTTGGATTGGAATGTCATGCAAGGTGACGGGTTTAATCTAAATGGGTCTTGTTTTTATTTTTTACCTTGTATGTTAAGTTAGTTTAGATATGGAATAGTAAAACAAAGGATGAACTTGAATATTGATGATGATATGGTGATTTTTGCAGTTTGGGGTACTTCCTGTGTTCATTGTTGATGGGACTCCTTCGCCATTGAAAGCACAGGCCAGGATTGCAAGATATTTTGGGTCTTGTGGCATTGAGCTGACTAGCTTGCCAGTCTCTGAAGGTGTTTCAGCAGAAAGGAGCAGCCTGTTTTCAAGTCGAGTTCAAGAATGTGTGGTGGGATGCTTTTACTTTTCCTATGATTACCACCAACTTGATCTTATTTTTGTGTCTCAGGCTACATATGCATTTCAATCAAAATTTGTTTCCCTAATGTTTACACATATACCTTATAGCAAGAACACTTATTTAATTACATATTTGTTGGATATGGATGCAGGTTTGTCAATTTGTTTTCTGATAGTTACCTGTTCTCCTGTTATAGGAACTGGTCAAACTACTTGGAATGCCTGTACTACAGGCTAAAGGAGAGGCCGAAGCACTCTGTGCTCAATTAAATAGTGAAGGTCATGTAGATGCTTGCATCACAGCAGACAGTGATGCATTCCTCTTTGGGGCAAAATGCATTATAAAATGTTTCTGTCCCAATTCCAAAGTAAGTTACTATGGTAATTGTATTTTCTTTTTTATCTCCTGGCAATTTATTATAAAAAAATATGATGTATGTTTTCTTAGCTCACATTTGTATTTCAGATGACTTTTTCTAAATGGTTTCATTAATCTGGATACTAACATTGGCTGATCACTTTAAATTTGAGTTTTTATAGACTATGTACTTGTTACAAACTTATGATTGTTTGGCCTGATATAGTTCAAAGTTATGTATGATATCTGTTAATGTACCCCTAGTTTCTTCCTCAACTGACCATATTATACAATGGATTTTTCACCTGTTCTTCTATGACAGTTTTTTGTTTTTTTGAAAAAAATAATTTTAATTTGTAGTTTTTTTCTGTCGGCATAACTTAGCAATTACAGCAAGTGATTGATTTCAAACATTTACTTAAAAGTTTTACCTGTATATCCTTTTAATTGTCCTGAAGTTGCAAACATTGCGTGCTCCTTTTATGCTTAAAAGAAATTCTTGAGAACACTTATGGAGTATTAATATTTTTTAGTGTGGTGCACTTCTATTTTGAAAATACTTGAGAACACTTATGGAGTATTTTTTTGTTTAAGTTTGAAAATATTGCTAGTAAGAAACTAATTAATCATATTAATGGTTTTTTCTTTTTATATTAACTGGGGTCAGCCATTGTATTTTATATAAACTTAAGCCAGTGATGAGGCCTTCCTTTTAGATTTAAGTCCATCTTACTGGTTTCAGTAAGGGTTCTTTTCAGTCTCCTTCTCTACCTTCAGTCATTCGGCTATCCTATCTAGTGAGCTTTTCCTATTGGGGATTATGTTGGCCTTTTTCTCACATCACCAAACCATCTTAGTGGCAACTCTATCAACTTTCCTTTCATATATATACCACTCCTGCTTTCTCTTGAATGCATTTATTACTAATTTTTATCTTTTTTAGTATGATTACCCATTCAATGTGTCTTCAAAACACCAAAACACATAGCTTATGATTTGGTTGGATCCAACATTCAGTACCATTAAAATCACTGGTTAGGGACAAATTTGAATAAATTCATTGCATGCAGGAACCATTTGAATTCTACAACATGTCAGATATTGAAGCTGGACTTGGATTGAAGAGGAAACACTTGATAGCTATCTCTCTTTTGGTTGGAAATGATCATGATATGAATGGTGTTCGAGGAATTGGGCTTGATAATGCACTTCATTTTGCTAAAGCTTTTAATGAAGATGATATATTGAATAGGTATGGATCCTTCAGAGTGATAAACATTTTGTTGTATCATCTGAAGTATTTAAGTGTTATGGAATGGCCCCTTGAGACCGGACAAATTGCATGTAGCTTGATTTTTAAATTGGAGTAATGTACTTTTACTCCTTCATGTTGACTTCACAACCTTTGTACCTCAAGTTTTGTCCTTTTGAGCTAATAATCTTCTTTTTTAGAAATAAAATTTGGTTGTTTGTGATTTTCTTTTACTGTCAACGCTCAAATTATTTTCTAATCCTAATATGGGGGGTTGGTTCACGATTAAATTGTGGACATGAAATCATTTAAAAGTTTATAGATAGAAATTTATGGAAACTCGACAAAATTGAAGAATGTTTTAAGGTGTGCGGTTCGGGTCTGCAATGGAAGAAAAATCATTTTGTGTGCTTTGATGTGGGTTAGTTTTGAACAGAACGCAATTCCGTTGATACAAGTTTGTAAAGACTTTTTTAGTAGCAAGGACATAATTGCTGGAGAGACTTGGAAGACCAAAATAGCGCAACAGTCACAACTAAAGGGATCCAAAAATGCCTTAAACACTAATAAATTCCCCGCTGATTTAAGTTAATTTTAATGTGACAAGACAAAGTCTCTGGTATTTCCTTATCTGATTTATTATTGTAATAGTTACAAACTCAAGGATTCTATCCATTGCATCAAACCTTTAATTATATCTGGCCTTTGTAGACGAATAGGGTACAAGTAACTTCGATAACCTGAATAAATATGTTGGTCTTGGCATTCTGATGATGATTTTGAAGCAGATTACAGGAGATAGGCAAAGGGGATACTTCACAAATTCCCAGCTGCACTAAATTTGAGGACAACATAGATGTTGATGGAAACTGCCCGAATACAAAACAACCTCATTGCTCATTATGTGGGCATCCTGGCAGCAAGAAAGATCATATGAAATTTTCTTGTGAATCCTGTGTCACAAAGGATGATGAAGGCTGCCAGAGAAAACCAGAGGGTTTTAAATGTGATTGCTGCTCATGTGTTTTGGTATGTATCTTAGAAGGGCTTTGCACGTTGTCTGGTTTTACTTGAATTACAATTAACAGGTTCTATTTTAATGATATTTTGATTTGCAGAATAGAGACAAGGACAAAGACGAGGAAAATCGGTACGTCAAAATTTGTCACAAAATTGCGGAGGAGTCCAAACTTTCCCAAAGATGAAATCATTGACATGTACCTAGCAATGACCATGGTTACTTTTCAGGTCTTTGAACTGTGGCATATGAAGTTGTTATAGTCTAGAGGTTGCTGGTGTGGTATGTATTGACATTCAGCAGTCAGCTTCTGTTTGCAGCAAGTGATGGGCCTCGGATCATATGGGGAAAACCCAATATGAGATGCGGATTGATTTTTTAAACTTTTCACATCAGCATTGGGAACCATCCGATACTTCGACGGACTATGTTTCCTATGATGGTCCACGTATCTTCTCTAGAGATATGTCTACTCCTACGGGAGAAACTTTGTTATTTGGGCAATATGGTTTGATTCGGTAACGTGTAGAAAATGAGATATGGACTACAGTTTTATGTGTCAAGTGGAAACGTGCAGGTGTAAACATTAACCCAGAAGTTCCATCAAATGAATCCAGTGGTGCAACAAGATGTGTAGAGCTGATGAAATGGTGGATCTACTGGACTGATTGCTCCTAGATTCCTGTAGATGGAAATGTAGTTTTGCTGTTTACAGATGAAAACATGGACCTAGTAGGACTGCTTTTCCTGCAGAAGTCAAAGTTTTTTTGCAGGAGCAGGTGTTTATTATTCTCCATCATTCTACCTATAACCTGATGTTTATTTTTTGCTTTGTCATTTTAATATCCTATGCTTCCATTTTTTGGGATCCCTCTTGATATTCATAAACTGAGTCCAAGAAGTATGCAAGGATTTTACTATAACAACTGTAGCAGTTGGTACAAGATAAACATGATGTTGATCCTAAAAACACCTTGGATCAACTAAGCTGGTTAGCAGTGCTAAAATAGTGACTGGTGCTTCAATTGCAGGAACGGAAAAGGAGAAAGAAACTCAAAATCAAGGTGCCAAGAAAATGAAAAACCAGCTTCTCCAAACTCAAATTACTCCATTAAGCATCACAGAGTTCTTTCCATCAACCAAAATTAACAAATTCCATCAAAACAAAGAGAAGAATCATCCAATGATGCTGATAGTGAGGGCAGCAAGAGTTCAAAAATGAAAAGAAACATGTCTAATTCTGACAATCTTCCAAAATCTGTGAGGCGTCGCCTTTTGTTTGACTAGTGAGTATATACATATCTTGGAGTTTTGAAATTATTGACATTAACAGTATCGAAGCAGTGAAAATAGAGTTGAGTACACAGATCAGTGAGCTTATATGTAATTAACTATTTGCTTTTGTTTGTCTGCTTCTTTATTTTTGTGAATAAGTTTTAGTTAGTTTATAGTTCTTTTTTCTCCATTGTAATGTTTAGATTTTTGCGTATGTGCAAAACTTAACACTAAGAAAACCCAACAGTGTTAAATAAATGAGAGCTTGATATAATGTATGTATTAGTTTGCAGTTGTCTTGCCTGTCTGAATCATTTTTAGTATAGTTTTTTCCTTCTCTTTTTGAATCTCTAAAAAAAAATTTCTTGTTCAAGTGTGACGAGTGTGTACAAAAACATTGAAAGGATGTAATTAAACATACATTTTATTCTCTATATATGATGCGGATTCTCAATACGAGTTATTCTCAATTTATTTTCTATATATGTATGTGAATTAAAAATAAGAATCGAAAATTATATTTCTAACTAAAAAAATATTAAAAAAGTAACAATGAGTAAATATTCAACCAAATGCTGCAATATTGTTCTATATTCAAATTTGTCTATTTTTTTTATGGTAATACTATTAAATAAAATTTTAATATAGTTCCAAGAAGTTTGTAAGAAATAGTGCCTTATAAACGACTAATTTTACGCTATTGAATAATATCGATAGGACGAGAAATAGTTTCAAATAAACATAATTTATAAACCTTACAATACAAATTTGCTATCATGTTTGGATGAATATAAATATATTGTAATTATAATTTAATCAAATTGCAAAATAGTCTTTCAAAAATATTGTCATATATATTTATTAGTTGTTAATTAACTCACAATAAGCAATTTAATTTGACACTTGATTTTAAATTTGAAATTCAACTAAATCATCCATAAAAAATATAATTATAAAAGTTTTTAATTTATTGCGACTGATAATGTACCAAAGTTAAAGTTATTAATATATCACATGAAAAAGAATATATTTGAATCAAAGTTCAATGTAAATAAATTGAAGTTTACTTCAAAGAAGAAAAAAAACTTTATATTCATCTTTTCTGGAAAATGAAAAAAGCATTGTTTTTTCACACAATAAATGCTGTAAATTAATTTTAAAATGAGATAACATATGTAGCAAATAACACTCCTTGTTCGTGTTCCTTTTATTGAAATACATAATAATAATAATAAAAAAATCGAATGTTTGCTCAAAATTTGCATTTACCTAGGCCCTCTTTGACAATAAAATCAAGAATGTTTAAGAAATTCAGAAATATTTTTTTATTATGAAAATTGTTGTTCTTAAGGTTAA